GTTTATGAATCGATTTTGGTGATTCTTTTTTTGTTAGAAAGGAGATATTTCTATCGGATATATCATGGGGAGTGCTCTGGGGAATTGTTTGGGTTGATATCTGCTGGTGAATTTCACCATCGTACAACTCGTCAAACCGCCAAGTACCATCGACACCACCTTGATAGTTGGCGCTCCACCACAGTGCGTTTTTCACGAAACTTTTACCCCGCACAACTACTTTGTGGAACGAGTTGTCGCCAGCGGTATTTCCAGACCGATACGACTTAGGGACCTTCAAGAAGAGAGCCTATTCCTTCCTTAAAGGCCGGCAATGCAATTGCGACTCAACCGATGTTGCAAATGTCCATGGGCTGCGGTGATCGCTTAACACCAGGTGACCCACATGCTCGTTTGCCTCCTATTCCCATAAAAAAAAAAAAAAAGATATCCCAAGGGTCAAGGGTGGTACCATAATAAGGAAACCGGATCTAAAGACGGCATCACAGAGAAATAGAGGGCAATCCTCGAATGTTATAGTTATTAACAATGTTTTAGTTACCTGGTTGAAGTCGTTTTTTTTTATAAAAATTGATAACTTGTAGTACCTGAAGTAGATACTACTTTCACATGATGTAAAAATAGCATATCGGTATGATAACAAACTAAAATCTCTTTTTCAACCGAATATTACAATGGTTCTAATGTTCACTTTTTATTTAATGATTTTTTCACAAGCAATGAGTACTGGTACAATTGATAGATTAGATTAGTCATTTTTCATTTTTTACCCTAAAGAAGTATAACTACTTACGTGTGTACATAAGTTCACACACACTTTTTTGTATATTTTATAAAAATGAAGTGAAACCGTATGCAATTCATACTTCTGCAAATTGTATCTTGTTCTTGTTTTCTTGTTATTTAAAAAAAAAAATGCCCTTACTTTAGGATAACATTACACGCGGAAAAACACCGTCCCAAATAGTTGTCCCGTGTGGGAATCGAACCCACGACCCCCGACGCCGAGGCCAATATCTTGGCAACTGCGCCACGGAGTCATCATCGCTTAGATGAACTTCTTTTAGGGCATTATAATTTACAAAGCATCTGTTAACGTTACAGTACCCTCTGTATAGAGGAGGCCTTTGCCCAGCAGTGGGACATGTATAGGCTGTTACTTTACTTTACTGTTAACGTTACAGTAATTAAATGAAACCTTTTTCAAATTAAAATTTAAATAATTACCAAATGTTAATTATGTATTTTGTAACTGTTTCAGATTAAAATGATCCAAGTTAAAGTAAATAAAGTAGAGATATATAAGTGTATTATTTTAGTATTTTTTTTAAATTAGTGGCCTACATGAATATATCTATAGAGATAACAAATAGTTGTTACTGAAGAAAAAGTAGAGATCTCTTGTTTTCTGCAATGAAAAAGGCTCTGGAAGTAAAATTACCAAGAAGATTTCTTCGATCTATCACCTTACGTTTTATTAACTACAAGTTAATAGACACTTAAAGTTGTCTACGTAAATATATCCCCGTTTATAATCGAATAAAAACTAGAGATATCACAGTGATGTGCAGAGAAAATGGCTCTATCTACCGATAAATTTCCAACTAGAGTTTTTACACCGATCCTAAAATAAAGATCTTTACATCTATCCGTCAATCTTTCAATTTATCTGAGTGACATTAAATTTCGGAAGCGCGAGACATTCCCTCTCGTATACCCGTCACAACTTCCGAATCCTCTCTACGAAGGAAAATGCATTTCGCAAAACTGATTTGCTGCAACGTTGACAGTGCTACGGCGTAGAACTCCCGCCTTAGAGTCCATTATTCGCTCGAAATGCAAAGGAAAAGTTCGCCGCCGGTTTTATCGGAATTTCGTGGAGTTGAAGATTTATTCTGACGCGTCTGAGTGGATCGGAGTTCTCCTTGATTGCTATTCGATGACCAGTTTTGCAGACTTGATGGGCGGAGCGATTGCTAAGTTTTCAATTAATGTTATTCGGAGTCAATTAATATTGATAGGTTGAGGGTACTTCGTATATTTGTTTTCATAATTCATCACATATCCTATAAAGCATTGCGTTCTCGGTAGTAGTATTAATATACCTCCGTAATGTTTCCTATATGGCTTAACGATAACGATTTAATACGGCGTAGAAAACTCGGTGGTGTGATAGAAAAGTTTTTAAGTTGTTGGTCAATACACCAATTGTGAGATTTTATTTAACTTGGGATTAGATGACGTTCTGTAAATAATTAAAAATTTTAAAATTAATATTTGTTGAAAATGGTACGATAAGTTTGTCGCCGCGGGATTCTTCGGGATTCGCGCCCTGACGCTTTAGCCACTAAGCTAAACGGCTATTCCCACAGCGGAGACAAACTTAACGTACAAACTTTTATGTTTAATCTTAAATTCAATGATTGGTACTACAAAAATTTTAATATTTATTTATTTTATTTCCATTTACGACCGCGAATAAATTGGCTTCTTAGCGCCCCAGGTTTCTCGCTATCAAAACGCTACCGTTCTGTTCTTATGTATATATAAGTACCTGGAGGACTAATCTTTGCTCGGTTTGTTTTTAGATACAAATTACTGAGTAAGGAAATATGCATAATATTCTTCGATCTTACCGACGCAATAATTAGAAAATATGAACTGGTGTTTTTCTGGTGGTGAACTTTAAAAAAAAGGGAAAAAAAGAACAAAATCATCTGGATGGACAAAAAAAAAAAGAAAAGAAAATCGAAAAAAAGTAAAAAAAAAATAAGTATCGACACGAACCACGGCCTTCTGTTTCGGGGCTGCCCGATTACCGATTGAGCTATTGTAACATATTTTTTGGGCGAAATTTACCGTCATATTGGAATGATATTTTTTATTCCCTGAAAACAGGAAAGGACATTTTCTAAAAATGAAACCTAGCTAGATCGATTTTTCGCCCCCGAATCTACGCACATATTAAATTTCATGAAAATCGCTGGAGCCCTCAGAGATTCCGATTATATATATGTATATATATACTATATATATATATATATATATATATATATATATATATGTATATATTTATATTCAATATATATTCCACAGCATTAAATCCTCACACCCGATAACAGGAAATGGAACAATAAAATATAATAACACCGGAAACGACGACTCACCGCGCTCATACCGACTTCCGGTGGCCGTTCGCCTGAAACTCTTTCTTCATGGCACCGAACAATGCATTTCAGTGGTCATAAATCTCGTATTGCTCAACATTTCTTAGCGTGGAATGCGAAATTTAAAATATTTTCTGGGATGAACCCAATACAGTTGACAAGGAGACTTTGTCTCTGCAAACACATGGATTATTTTTATTAAGCATTTCGTCTAGAGAAGATTCGTCTAGATGGGCCCAATCACATTGCAGATGAAACGCGTACGCGTTACACGATAAATCCGTAAAAAAAGTTTCATTTATACAGCGTGGCGTTACAACCGCAACAATAAATGAACTGCCAATAATCATAAAAAAATATAAACTTTAAAATAATCCATAATAAAAAAATAACTATCAAACAAACTAATTTAACAAAAAAGATACATAATTTGTGACATCCTATACAACTACAACTGACTGATTCATACATTCAGAGACTTTTTTATTTGTTGCCACAACGTCGCATTACTAGCAAGTCAACTTTACGTTACAGTTTTATAAGTAAGGGTGTTCCAAAATTATTTGTATTGATGTCTAAAGAAAGTAAACGTTTAATACAATTTGTAGAAAAAGTACGAAAAGTTTGTCGCTGCTGTGGGAATCGAACCCTCGTCTTTGGCATTCGCGGCCGGATGTTGTTCGCTTTCCGGGTGAAGTTTTCCTTCACCGCCGAGCACGTGATAATTCAGCACTTAGAATCAACAATTTAATTGGTGCCGGCACTGGGTATCGAACTCAGGTTGCTCAGGTATTGTAAATTAAAGGCGAGCGCCCGGACACAGAGCTATCACGGCCTCATTACTAGATTAGATTTTAATTCGCTAAAAATCCTCTATTGAAGTATTTCTGCCAAATACTGTTTCAATTAACAATATTTGAGTAAATATAATTATTATGTGCTTCAGCCAATTTTAATTGAAACGTTTGATGGGCACTTGTTTTTATTTAAGCTAGCAGGCTATCTCATCAATGTTGGAATTTGAGTTGTGTTCCAATTTATTAAAATCCACTCGTATTTCGTGGAACGGCTCGTTTGTGATTTCAACAGGCCTTGGGGGTAAACGGATTTAATGTAAATAGCTCTAAAGGGGTTTACATAAGCACTTAATAGCCTACGGTTCAAGCATTAGACGCAGAGATTCGAGACTGAAGCAGGAACAAAAAAATCATCGTCATCTTCATCACCCGGAAGATGTCCACTGTCAATGCCTCCCCTTAGAACGCCACCACGAACGACACTTTGCCATTTGCAGACACCGGTTGCCCGCGACACTTACGATGTCATCAGTCCACCTAGATGGAGGCCTTCCAAGGCCTACGTCTTCCGGTTCCTGATCACTACTCGAGAACTTTTGTCCCCAACCGGTCAGTGCTCGAGCGATGAGGCTTGCCCATTGCTACTAATTCCGAGAGCTGGTGGCTGATTGTTGTTCATCGGCGAATTCCCTAGATTCGGATTTTGGCATGCAACGAAAGAAACGATTTCGATATTTGTAACTATAGTTTTTTTAAGCGAGAAGGTGTCAAGTGGTGGGGTTGCAGATGCGTTGCAACATTTAATAAAGTTAGATACGGCTACCTCACTCCAGACGAAACTGCGAAGTATAACACATCCACATCAAGCCGGTCTTCTGTGAGGTAGTGCCACTACCCCGAACGAGCCTCCCCATTTGTGCAACTGCCAAGACTGATCTGTGGTCTTACTACAATAAAAATGTCACTTTCGTGCAGACATCCAAAACCAACGGACTTCGGCACCAACTGATGAAACATCAATAGTCGTTGGTGTTTCATGGGTTGGTGCCAAAGTGCCAGACTGCAAGTATTGAACTTTAGTGCTCTATTAGGCACAGTGTCGGAAATCTCAAAGGGTTCTTATCACCCCCGCAAGCAACCACAGTACCTCTTCGGCGCTCGCAGCCGCAACGGAAGTAGTAAATATGTCGGCACCACCGGAAGCGGGCGCCGGGCGCTACGTCACTTCCGGCCCAGGCTCTACGGGATTACGGGCGCGTTAATTGTGCTACGTTTCGTTCTCTACGAGCCGTCGTAAATCGTACGGATAATTGGTTTCGAAATCGTCTAGTCGTTTCGGATTCTCGCTAACGATGCCGTATTAATTTTTAACGTCTACTTCTATATTGTTTTGGATCACTACATTCGTAAAGATAGACGCCTGTGGGCCAGTAGTTAAGATACACGACTGAAACTCACGGGCTTGAAATATGTTAATAATTATATTCACCGATATTATCGTCATCATTGATATCGACTACTGGTTTCATTTAATTATTATTTTACTCACACTCATTCAATTAATCTGACATATAAAAATTCATTAGCAACACTTATTAATCCATGCAACAGTTTGAATTATTCATAATAGTCTCCAGGATTATGTGTTTGAAATTGAATCTTATATCATCAGCATTTTCTTCATTTCAGCCTTTTTGAGTCCACTGCTGAACATAAGCCTCCCTCATAGACTGCCACACACATTTTATGTATATAACATATGTATAAATCAGTTCTAGCTATGTCATGCAGTTGGCACAAGACCGTGCGTCATGACAGTCTATGGGGAAGCCCATGTTCGGAGATAATGATGATGGTGATAGAGATTGTTTGGTTTGCTTAAAAAAATCCGAGTCAGGGCGTGGTTTGTGTGGAATATTTAAAAAACAGCGATTATTCCATAGAGCGGGGATTATAAACAAAAATTTTTACTTTTTTATGCCCTTATCCCACCTAGGTGGGGTCGGAACAACATCGAATCATGCTGTAATCGATTTTGGCTAGATTTTTCACGACGTAAACATCACACATTTTACACACACTACGTGTGTGTAAAATGTGTGATGTTTCATAATTTTTTTTCTCTTCTTTTACCATGTATTTTTTATGTTTGTGGTATTTTTTATGTTAAAGTACATGTGGCGTATTAGTGCAATAAATATTTTCTTTCTTTTTTTCTTTCTTTTCCTCAACAGGAAAACCTGGTATCATCTCAGTATTGTACATTTGGTAGTAGTTGTATCCCTGTGAAATATCACATTTTATTATTTAGTACGAATCACAGTGTTTCTACATCACCTAGCCCTTACCATACAATTAATACATCTCGCCGCAAAACCAATCTAGGTCTGAATATCCCGTTGCCAAGATAACTCGATTGTCGTGAACACGATTGGCGTAGTGGGTGGACAAACTGCTTCTTGCGCGCTAGGAAGCATTATGTATTAATAATTTCTGATAATATTATGTACGGTTCATGTGATACCAGCCTGGTGACAGACGGAAAGACAGACAGACAGCGAAGTTTTAGTAATCGGGTACCATTTAACCCTTTGGGTACGGAACCCTAAAAACAAATGAGATAATCAGATTTTTACTAATTAGAAGTATTTCGCCGAACTTTAAAAATAAACTAAGTTTCTTAATTAAAGCATCGCCGATGCGTCGTAAATTATGCACGCAATTACCGGTAAATGATTCTAGACGACGGAATAAAATGAGGAAATCAGCGTAAGCGGGCGTGTTTGAGAAATATGCCCTATAAGTTCTTGAGAGGAGAGAACTCGTGTGTGCCGAGTTTTTTTGTTTCGAAGTATTTCCATTATACTCGCTGTGTTATAAAACGTAAATTAGTTGAGCGTTCAGGCATGTTTAAATTAAATAAAGCATATATGATACAAGAGAAGAAGTGAGGGGTTGTAACATTAAAAGTTTAATTCCATCTTGTTATTCGTTAGAAGGTGGCAAGTGAGATTCAACTAGTTTTAAGTAATGGCCGCCAACTACTTTGCGTAAATTTGACCGGTGTTAAGTGATAATCTTATACATCTGCGTTTCGTCTGGTGTGTGAGGTAGCCGAGGCCTACTCTATTGGTGGGTAGCAACGCATCTGCAACCCTACGGATGTTGCAGGGTGTTTATCACTTTACACCAGGTGAACCAACAGATCCCTTGCCACCTTCTCACATAAAAAGCCTGCAACCCCTATGCGGTGGCAGATGCAGACTAATTCATGACCCTTTAAGACTTAGTATTGGTTTTATGTTATTTTTTCCTCATACTATATTATCTGCTGATGGTTTTTTTTATAAAATTAACCCTTACTAATATTATAAAGGCGAAAGTTTGTTTGTATGGATGGATGTTTGTTACTCTTTCACGTAAATACTACTGAATGGATTTTAATGAAACTTTACAATAATATAGCTTATACATACTATACATCAGAATAAGACATAGGCTATAATTTATATACATATTTTATGTGTATCTGTCTTTCTGTCTGAATGTTACGCCTTCAGCCTATTCTACGCAGACGTAGTCGTGGGCAGCAGTAAATAATTAAAGCATTTTCACAGCTAACATCAGTTAAGTGTGATATAAGTATATTTATGGAGAAAATATCTGTCCTTGCTTTCTCAAAAAATGTCCTGAAAATCTGATAAAGAGCATCTTGAAAAACCATTTTCAAACATTTTGTTAAAGCTACCCTAATGGATAGGGCCTATTATAACAAAGAATGCATCGAGGAAAATGATGTGGGGAAAGGAATCTTTCTCTCTCCTTGCAAGATCCCTGACTGCTGCTGATTTTATAGATACTCTGTATATATCATTGAAAACATTACATAAGTAGAACAAGACCGCAGTGTCTTGCCGATTCTTCTCTAGACAGATCTAAATTAGTGAACCGGTGGTAGTTTTTTCCGTTCTATCCAAATAAGAGCTTAAATCAAGCCTATATTGAATAAAGAAATCTTGACTTTCACTTCGACTTCAGGTAAACCGACTACTTTTTTGCCATATCTCTAAAAATGTAGCAGTGGACAGACCTCCCTAGTGTTTTCCGCTTTGATTTTTCCCAAAACGTGACCGGTGACAAGCTTTTCGCCATTTTTTATATTACTTTTTATATTGCTTAGGCTGTAATAGTTTTTTTTTTAATTTCCGTTAATTTATGATTTTCCTATTAGAGAAAGCTTAACTGGTATTTGTACAAGCTATTTTTTATAACTATAAGTGCGGTGTATACTGTATGTTTCCCAAATAAATAAATAAATAGACAAATGTCCGAAACGGAAACACCTCAGTGTACGTGACTTAGATTCCCATTACCAAGTAAATAATTAAATAAATATTTTCTACAACGTTCTCTAGTCCCAAACTAAGCAACGCTTGTACTATGGGTACTAGATAACTGATAACCATACTTAAACATACTTTTCTTTTGTAAATAAATACATATCATACACACCCAGACACTAGGAAAACACTATGTCCATCACACAATATTTTTCCAGTAGTGGGGATCGAACCCATACCCTCTGGCGCAGGAGGCAGGTACACTACCCACTACGCCATTCGGGTCGTCAAAGTAGTCATATTCTTCCCGAAACTTTATGTTCCACCTCAAACGCAGGGCGGAAGGTGAAATATAAATCTCCGCTGACTATGAAATAAAGCAATAAAGGTGAACCGACAAAATAAAAGGGAAATAAAAACGGCGGGAAAACGTTTCGGACGGGGCGTAATGGCCGCCGGAAGTCGGTATGAAAGCGCCGCGTGGCCGTTTCCGGTGTTGCCATGCGGTAGTAGTTTATTCCCTGTTATTGGGGGGCGAGAAATATGTTTTTCGGGGCCGAGTTGTTTGTGGAGGTTGTCTTGCCATTACTCAAAAATTATCTTATCGCATCAGTTTGTGTTTATACAACATTTACATACGTATAAACGCACGCAAGTTAAAAATATTCAGAAGCACTTTTTTCCTGCATACTTTTTACATACCAAATCTTTTCTTTTACTTAGACAAAAGCAATGGATTTGAATCGAAAAAAAAAAAATAATACAATGAGCATCAACTCATGGATATTTGCAACGTCCATAAATATCACGTCTTCACAAAAGACCGCCGATTTTTTTTTCATGTGAAAAATGGCAAACGAGCTGGCGATTTAACTGACGTTAAGTAATAGCCGCCGCCCATAGACATTTGCAACACTGCTAGGGATGCAAATGTGTTGCCACCTTTAAATAAAGTGGGCCCCGGCTACCTCACTCACTAGACTAAACGCAGAAGTGTAACACTCTTACTTTACACCGGTCTTCTGTGAGGTCGTGGTGACTACCCGGACGGACCTGCCCATTCGTGCAACAGAGAAAACTTGCGTGGCCCTACCACAGTTGAACTTCTGCGTTTCGTCTGGTGAGTGAGGCAGCCCGGGCCTACTTCATTGAAAGGTAGCAACGCATCTGCAACCCAACGGGTGTTGCAAACGTCAATGGGTGGCGGTTATCACTTATCGTCAGGTGACCAGCCAGCTCGTTTGTCACCTTTTCAAAATTAAGGAATATTTGGCGTAATCTAGTGCGCTTACCTTACAGGAAACACTTTCTCAAATGACCATTTGAAAACTAAAGAGATGTCACTTTTCAAACGACTCAAAAAGGGAGGTTCTCAATTCGACTGTATTTTTTTTTATTTGTTACCTCAGAACTTTCGACTGTGTGAATCGATTTCTATGATCCTTTTTTTTTTATTTGAAAGCCGGTGCTTCCCACGTGGTCCCACAGATTTCACTGGTACTGGATCTTGGTTTCCGGAGATACGTAGGGATCTCCTGAACATACACAAGAATACAGAGCGTGATGTTTTAAGTCGGTTTTGTTTTTCGTTAGTAAAAAAATTTACTTGTTGCTATAGAAATTCATAATTCACTTTATTTTTTTTTCGACTCAAAGCCATAGCTTTTGTCTAAGTAAGAGAAAAGTTTTGGTCCATTCCGCTCCGAGCTTTTATCTCAAAGAATTCTGCGAGTGCTTCCCCCCCTTCATTATTAATCTATTATTTAAGTTTTGCGAGGCGTTCGGGTGGATATTATGAATGGCTCTTAGAAGCGATTGAAAACTTTCCATTTTTATAATAACCCCACCGTTTCTCATTTGCTTGGAATCAGATCCGAAGTATTGTCTTCGATGTTAGAAATAATCATTTAGATAGATTTCATCTGTGTGAGAGAGAAATGTATACATACATTAC